CCTTAATACCTTTAGTACACATTATATCAAGTGTCACCTCAAGTCCTCAATACCTTTAGTACACACCCCCTACTGGGCGTCACCTCAAGGTCACAATACCTTTAGTGAAACTATGAATCTTTCATCTTTTTTCCTCCCACCATAAGTACGTATCTATGGATGCTATATGGGTTCCTTTCTACTATACCCATAGTCCTAGAGTCTAACTCTACACACATTCTTCTCGCAATATCAACTACTATAATTCCTATGTCTCAAAGTAAGAATGCCAAAACTCCTAACGTATCAACGTGACTAACTACATGCCTATGGATCCATCGTGCAACAGTTAATAATTACATGACTCGATATTGGATGATAAACCCACTCAAAACATGTCATTCTCATCAATTACCCAAAATATAGAAATTCATGTTCAACTGACACTATTAAGCCATTTAGGTTGGGCCACATCCCAAAACTAATTTGAACTCATATTACATAGACAAACTCTACATTTCCTAATTTAACCATTAATTTAATATGATATGTGGTTGGATCTCACAAATCTCATAAATTCTACGGGTCTGAAAATAAGTCCCCTATATATATAGAGGGGCGTCCAAATACAACCCCCTCTAGATTATACAACCGATGCAACCTACTTATCCACCATCTATTTTTTTATTTTGTTTTTTTTATTAAAGGTAGTTACAACAGATCAAATTGTAACCGTTGATGAACTAATGGACGTTCTTGATTTGGTTATAAGGGTATATACATAGGACGCTAATTAAATGAGAATCATAAAAAGTTATACTCATGAGAATTGACATAAAAATACTTCACATTATATTTTCTAATCAAAGGTTGTGATTTTAGTTATTGTTTCACATATGTTTGTGTTAATATATATGGTGAAAGAAAATCAATGGGAAACTTTTTTTGGTTCATACAGTGAAACAAAAAATACACATAAAAGAGTTTCATAATATGAAACAACTGCATATAAAACTATCACATTATGAAACAAATATATGTGAAACAATATTTTTAATATTATATATATATATATGACATTTAGTTGATTTTTTTTAAAGTCCTATTTCTTGAATTATTGTTTCCATTTGTATTTTAAAAAATAAAGTCAACAACCAGAAGTGTGTATAATTCAGCATGGGCTTTATAATTAAGATGCAAAGGTGTCTAACGCATGTTGTTTCGATGTCAACGGATCCACTTAATAATTTAGACTTGTTTTCATATGTCGTATGTGTTGGTGATTTGTATCACCAATAATCATTTAAGTGTAATGAGATTAAAATTTTGACTGATGTAATCTTGATAAATATTGAACAAGTAAGGGTGGTACGGTGTGCACACTTGTTTGAGTTTATTTCGATATAAAGTATACCGTTATTTAGGGGCTTTGCCCCTAAACGACGGGGGTCCGGGGGAAGCGCCCATGGTAGCAGGGTCCAAGGGGCAGAGCCATGGGCGGACCTAGTTAAGTGCCATGGGTGGCACGTGCCACCTTATCGTTTCTCCGCCGAAGGGTAAAAAATTTAGGTTTCGTGAACGGTGCAACCGTATTAATTTATTGTGTGCCACCGTATGTATTTTGAAACTATAATGAGAACAATTTTTATTTGGTAAAGTTGGTTTGCAAGGTTTTTATTCCACCCCACACCCAAGTCCGAATTATGCTAGTGTCATTTTCCTAGTCAAACGGTGAAACCCTTTGAGAAAAAAAATTGTATATTTGTTTCTTATGGTCAAAGGGTGTCACTGTTTGAAAAAAAAAATTTCCTATATATTTTTTCTTATGGTCAAATGGTGTCACCGTTTAAAAAAAAATTGGGTCCGTCCCTGGGCAGAGCCCCTGGCAATTTTTTTATTCGGGTTAACGTTACTATATGGAAAATGCACGAAAATCCGAACTTGTGATTTTGAACCCGGTTTTTGGCCCCGTTTTTTAAACCCGGTTTGGTGGTTCTGAAACTGTTATTTGACAGTTTTCGAATTTTCTTCGTATTGGTCATTTGATTTTCGAGGGTACAAGAAGATTCATAGCATCGATTTTCTGTTCGATTTACTGAATTTTATCAGATTAAAGTTTCGATTATACCATCGAAATATTTCAATCTGAAAGTGAATCACAACTTTCAGTAATCCAAGCAATCGAAACACCCACAAATTCTAATAGCATCTAGGTTTTAATGTATACAAGATATATAAATAACAAAGTAACCATATTCTTTTGAGGGTCTCGTGGTCTCGTAAATAATGTCATCAACCCAACAAACTAAAAAAATTAACTCTATATATTGGTTCGAGAAGGACACTGTATTCAATACGTACCTCGACTCAAATTGTTGGTTTATTCCGTTTCTGTTATATTGACGATACATACAAAAATAAATACAGTATAATTTCCTGTTATATACCCCCCCCCCCCAAACAGACGGGAGGAGGGCATAGACGCTCATATTGGATCAAACCCAAGTGAACAAGGGTCAGTGTAAGCCCTTCATGAAAGTATTTACATTAGATATCTGCAATATGCAAATAGCATTGAACCAAACTTGTTCTCGAACAAAATGAATATCAATTTCGACATGTTGGGTGCAGTGGTGTTGGACCGGATTTCCATTAAGATATATGACGTTTAATCTGTAAGTGGAGCTCTTCAAGGAGAAGATTGTGTAACGAGCTTGTTCTGGGAACGGCATTTGCGACTCTGCGGTCTTCAATGCCTTTCGATATATGTATAATGAAGCATCACGTAGACTGCTTGGAAATCCTTGCTAGAGCCAAGGGTCGCAAACCTTTGTTTGAGCTAATTGCTTGATATAATTTCGAATGGGAGTCCCATGTCGCATAAGTGTATGATTTTTCTTTTATTAATATGATTGTGAGTAGGGCCGTAAACGAACCGAATACGTACGAACATAGGTTTGTTCGCATTTGTTCGTTTAACTTAACCGAACAAACATGAACTATAAACAAACGAAATTTTTTGCGTTCGTGTTCATTCGTTTAAATGCTGAATGAACAAAAAACAACATTACTTCAAAAAAAAAACTATCAGTACTCGTAATTTATTTTCTCTAAGATAACATAAGAAAATTATAATAGGTAAAACCGGAAAAAATGAAATATTAAATAATTAATTTAATTAATGGTTTTAAATATTAATGTCATGACATATAAATATATTTATAAATATAAACAAATGTAAAAAAATGAACGGACATTCACGAACATAATTGAACGCATGAAATCATTGTTCATGTTCGTCTATTTAACTAAACAAACAAAAAATGTGTTAATGTTCATTTATTTACTAAATAAACGAACTTCCTACCGAATAGTTTATAAACAATTCGTTGAACATTCGGTTCGTTTACAGCCTTAATTATAAAAGGTTCCGTTTTATTTCCAAAAAAAAATCGTAGTAACACAGAAGAAACTCAACCTATGAGGAGCAACCTCCAAGACGTAAGGGTTGTTAGTCAAACGTTTATGGGGTAAGCGTTTACTAGTAAGAGATATCATTTTTGTTTACCTTATCATGTAACATTCTCGGCTATCAAAATGGATTGTTGGTAAGCGTTTTAAACATGATAAATGCCTGTTGGGTAAAACTCTTAGTCATTGTCATGCTTCTTGTCGGATAAGATTCTCGGTTATTTATGCTCAACTAGTAAGGCAAAGGATGTCGATAAGTGCTTACCTGATAAACATTTAGTAAACCGCCCTTACTCGATTTATTAGTTGGGAAAGTTTCCATAGAGGAGACCAGCCCCTGTTTTCTATCTAGGTACGAGTGTTTTTTCCCAACCCGAATCTCGTATTCAGGTCCAACACAACACGATGGTTGTATTTTCAAGCTTCGATTCAGTAGTTTCTGGTTCCATTGCTATGTGATTTGAGCATTTATAATCATCCATATAGTAGTTTTATGCATTATTTGGTAAACATAAGCTAGTTTATAAGATAGTTTATTTTTTGGATACATGTTTGGATAGACATAAACTATCTTATAAGTTAGCTTAGTTGGAGTAGGTTATGACAAGTTCTTTGTCATTTTTTTCATTTATAACTCTCATGAATATTTATAAATATTAATTATGAATAAATAAATAAAAATTAATTATTACTAATATTAATAAATAGTAATTAATATTAGTTAAAGTTAT